AATATGATTGTATCTTTATATTATGAATAATAAAGTTTGATTTTTTTTCTTTCCAAAAATGATCTTGAATAAGAATATGTTCCTTATTCACATATATGTTATCTAGTACTTAGAACTCAAATACATAAATTTGTTCCAATTTATTTGCTTTCACTTTCGTTCTTAGTTAATTACTTTGGTTTCAATGCCTTGTTTCATTATTACTCGATTGTTCCTTTTGCAATATTGATTTTGGATACGTATAATAGATATTATTTGATAGTTATTGGTGTTTTCTAATTGTAGATGGAGGGAAGGAGTCATTATAGACACTATAGGAGTTATGTAGGACGGTCTACTACTGCTACTACTTCACGGTCCTCTCCTCATTCGACTTCACGATCCTTTCCTCCTACAACTTCACAGTTGCCACGGACCCCATCCTTGTCACCAAATTCCACTCTAGTTCATGAGACAGATCAGTCTTCTACTCAGGCTCCTTCCCCACCTGAAGCTCAAGCACATTACAAAATGGGGCTGTTGACACTCGAGGAGCTTCTTGTAAGCCCAGGACGGTCTGGACTTACAAAATTAGACCCTAAGCGTCCCCCAGGAACACAGTGGTAACTTCTTTAATTGTATTATGTGTATTTTCAATACAGTGACAACATTTAATTACTAACTTTTGTTGTTTTCTATAGGTTTGAGATTGATAATGAAGTTGGGAAGGTAGTCTCCAATTGTATAAAAGGATACTTCACTAAACCCCACGCCAACATCTCACAAATACCTAAGAAGATTGTTGACACTTGGTTTCATATGTTTGCGGTAATTGTGAAAAGATCTGAACCCGCTACACAAAATTGGTCAACGCGTTGACTTCCTGGCCTGGCCCAAAACCATCTTTAATTGCAAAACCGCCAACTAATAATGCAAACAAACTCTTGACTTAACCAACCTGCAAAAGAGAGAGAGGTGAGCAATCAAATATCACTTAGTGAGGGCAAGCCTTAGGGCTCACGAAATCCTCATACACAAACACGCTTAGACAATCATAAAGTCTAAAGCTAAGATAAGCAGGCAATCACGTGTCAAAGACACACACACACACCAATTAAATGAGACTATGTCCAATAACCACTACTGTGAGACCCCGTCCCGGAAGTCCCGGACATCTCGGCGTCCGGTGACCATTGTCACACGTTCGTGCCTCCTCCCGGCCAAACCTCCATATTTTTCGAATTTTAACATAGAATTACCTTTACGAGGCTTAATTCTATAATTCTTATCTCTTAACACAGCGGAAGTCTTTCTACCCATGGTCTAATTCCAACCATCCCCTGTACCGGTTTGATCGTCTTTGTCCCTTAGACTTTAGATCAATCATTTACTCGGCCAAGTCATGCAATTTGTTCGCTAACCATTCTAAGTCTAACGATTACATATTCTTTTATCCTTAATCCAATGGTCAATTCCTAAATGTCTAGCTTAAGTAATAAGTTAGATTCGTTTACATACCTTGGCCAATATGCGGATTCGATTCCTCATCGATCCGTCCATTGATCCTTCCCTTAGCCCTTTTTGATTCCTTATTCTATTCGTACAACGATTCTTAACCAATCATGTATTGATGGACCAATCTCTATCGTTACTTAGCCATACATCCAACCAATCTCTACCAGTGGCCGAATCAAGCTCTTGGCTCATTGGTCCATCCGTCCTCCAAACGTACGCCCCTTCGGTTTCATGGTGGACGATCAAGCCCTCGGCTTATTGAACCATCCATGTTTCCGATCCGATCGTTTATCACTACGACCGCCCACGGTTTATTAACCTTTTACCTGTCTGGTCCATGGTGCTCGGTAAAGCCTTTGGCTTATCGATCCATCCATGCGATCCGAACAATATCATTATCACACCCAAGGGTCCATGGATTCATCCATCGGATTATCGTAGGCTAGCCCATGAAATCGTTCGTCCGTCGGCCATTGGTTTGCTCGCGGGTGCAACATCCGTTTTATCCATCGGTTTTCACCGTGGACTTTCCCGTTAGTTATCCGTCGAGTCACCATTGGTCTTACCGATTTCCGATCAGTTTCACCAAGGCTGTGATGTTTGATTCATAAAGGCGGTCGTAATATTTGATATTTACATAGAGAACCACGTTCCTTACTCATTCGCGATGCTTTCTCCCTTTTCCGGTGAGATTGCATCTATGGGCGACCCGTGGGTGTGTTCACTTGCACTTATCCTCCTGCTTCCTCGAACACCTTTCCCTTATGCACCTTCCCTATTAACTTCCCATTAACCATATCATTCAATTGGTCTATCTTTGGATTCGTCAATACTCCCATATTGACAATCTAAGATTTGACGATCCATTTCCTTTTTGTGTCCTTCCCTCGACGATCTAATTTATAAAACGAAAGATCCATCGATCCCATAATCGAGCTATCGATCCGAATCATCAATCGAATCGTCGAACTCTCCGTCCATCCAACTCCTTGATCGAATTATCATTCCATCGATCCGATCCATCGATCAATACCATGATCCGATCATTCGGTCGACCCAACTATCTTACCCGATCCATCCCGTCTCTCCGATGAACGATCCATCTGTTCCGATCTATCTCTTCGACGATCGATCCATCCGTTTCGATCTGTCTCTCCGACGATCAGTCCGATCAATCCATCCAAACATTCCATCAAACCGTTGGATCGGGAGATAGCATGCGCATTAGTTCGGTCGAGGCTCCGAGAATCCGTTCCGATTCTGAAGATACTCGCCGAGCCGCACCCCCTTTCCGTCCAACAACTTTGTGGGTGTTTTGGGACTGTTTTTGGATTAAGATCGTAATTTTGAGATGTGTTCTTGTCTCTTGGACGTTCACCCTTTATATAGGGCTGAATGGTTGCCTCTCCAAAGCATCACATCCGTTCCTTGCACCCTTCTGAAGGGTTGCATCTTTCCGAACGTAAACGTTCGGCTTTATCCACCCTTTGGCCAACAGTAACCATTCGTCGGTAACCGCTCGACCTTACACCTCTTCATCCCGAGCTACCACAGTCCACCAGCTCGAGTGTCAGCTGACCGGATCACCCAGCTGGGTCAGTACTCGATCAGTTCACCGAGCTCGGTTGAGCTGTCGGTCAGCTCACCTAGCTGAGCTAGCTAGTCTTGCAGCTGGTTTAGCTTACCTAGCTGAGCTAGCTAGTTCATCCAGCTTGTCCAGCTCACCTAGCTAGTTTAGCTCAAACGTTCTTTACGGCTAAGTCTTTCGGTCCATTTTCTCGGCCTTGACTACGCCATTCCCAATCTTTCCATGATCATTTCTCCACGATCACTAGATTATCCCGATGTCGTCTAAGTCATCTACCCTTTTCATGACTTAAACGTTTCATTCCTTCCTTGGGTTAACTTGTTCATTGGTCTTTCTCGACCATGATCTAGTTTTCCCTAAAACAAACATGCCCCCTTTAGGATCGCAGGACGCGAGTGTTACAACTACCACGAAGGCAGGCAGGATATGAACGTATATCACACGTCATCTACCCGTACGTACTGGATTCCTCATGCCTTAGCACTTCTTCCGTGCAACCGGATCCCTCGTGCCTCTTGCACTTCTTCTGTGCACCTCATACTTACCGGCTCGTCAGCCATCATGATCTTTTCGGAAAGCTCGTCCATAGACCATCACACAACTACAAGGATCTCTCCTATAGGATTCTCTCTGCGGCTCACCGCATCTTCGTGCCATTAGCACATTCTCTCATCACACAATATATTTTACCACACAAACATGCATTTCACGAATCACACAACCCGTATTAAAATATCTATTTTAATTTATTTTCATATTTAAAATACTAGTTCATTTTATATATAGGTATATATCTACATATAAATACGTATAAATATAATATACAATCACCACCCAAATATATGTTACTTATAATGTAACATATAGGTATGCTCGGCTTAACCTTAAACTAAGTAACTATCTAAACATATCGGTATATGGAAAAGACACCAACTAGTCCTCACCTTAGCCAATCTGGTTGATTCCTCGGTTTAGCACTAGAAACAACGGAAGACCGGTTCAACAATACTTCTGAATCTAAAACGGTTTACATAACCGATCAAAGATTATTTTCCAATAAATAATCCATTATCAAATCCTCCAAATCAATTAATGAGACAATCTTGTTTTAATTGATTTTTGGTGTTTCCTCGATTGAATTAATTAGACCAAAATTTAATAATTTAATACACCACAATTTCAATCACGATCACACTAATTTGGCTCTATAACAAATCACCATTTAACCAGACGAACACATAATTGAATATGGTTTAATAAACTTATCTCAAGCTCCTCAAACCACCAATATAATGATCCAAAATCCCAGCAAACGTAGACTCCACATTAACACACCAAAGCACCACTTCGACAATTCCATAATTCATAACACATGCTTTCGTAATTACGCCTTTCGTTTAGACCGGTTTAGACTCGCGGTTTAAGAATCAAAACAATGCAACAACAACAGACGCAAGTTAAGCTTTGCTGTTACCTTTCTCAGCATTTATACTCGATGGATCTTCTTGGCAGCTTGACAAGGCGGTTCAAGCTCACAGCGGTTAGGACCACATGACCACTACAAGAAATATGGATATTCTTAACACACCGAAAACGCTATAATATCGTTTTCATGGCGGACTCATAAACGCTGTCTTTTCCGGAGCTATCTTAGAGGGGGCACTTACAATAGCGCTTTTTGGACATGCTATTAAATATATCCCTATAATAACGTATAATATATCTTATGATTTCCTTTTCTGTAGCCTTTTTTAAAAGCTATAATATATTGTTTCATTAATCTTTTTCTAGGTTATTATATGTTGTTTAGTAGCTCTTAATCTGAGCTATAATATAACATATTACGTATTATAGCATTTTGTTGATGATATTTTTGCAATTAAATTTAACCCTTTTTGCATTATATATATTTTCTAGATAAATTAAATTTGGTTAACAATTATATTAAATATATTTATTCCATAGAAATTAAACATAACAAGTCTTACAAACTCTAATCCAAACCAAATCTTAAATAACTCCTAAACAACAATGCTAAGCATAACGCTTTATGAGAGTGTGGGAGAGAAACCGAGGGATCAATCTCCCAAGGCCTTGGAGATGACTGAATGCTTAAGTGTGGGAGAGAAACCGAGGGATCAATCTCCCAAAGTGAAACTCTTTCTTGATGATCACTCACAAGACTCATCCCATCGCACCTGCCAGACAAGTGTGAAAGATTTAGCTATCGATCTTCAAAAATGAAAAGTCTTGCTAGACATATACTCCAAAAAGATGAGGGAGGACGCACCAACAAGCACCTCCATTTAGAGTTTGGCCACCTATATGGGTCCAAGTCATAGACTCCAGCCACTACACCAGCGCATCTGCAATAAAAATTGAATTTAAATTCTCTTCCAAGAAAATTAGCTCCCTTCAACACAAAGACAGAATCAAGAAAGCAACAATACCTTCTCTCAGGAGAGTCGTTCATTTCAAATCGCATTATGAATCTTGTGCCTATGCAAATGGGATTCCTGATGCTTGTGATATACTTCTCATAAGGAATCACAAACTCTGCATGCGTCGCTCTGTATATAAATCCATGAATCAACATTCTAGTTCTTTATTTCTTACTAAACCTAGTTAAGAATCATTACGAATGGCAGTTTTTCATTTTTATATTACCGTGGACTGTAAAACACATGAAACATGCTTTTTGTAGATACAGTCATTAGCCACAAGAGACCGAATGCTCGAACATGAGTTCTTCTCAATGATTTAGTCAGGTAGTCCATTTCTTGAACTTGCTGCTCTTCTTATTCCTAATCTCAGCTCTCCATATTCATCTCTACAAACGCTGATATTAGTAACAAATGTAACATTCGGATCACGAGTTTCAAACAATCAAAAGCAGAGGGAAACACTATCAATCTATTTCAGTTAAAATGAAACCTTATGATTACCTCAGAAAGAGAACGACATCACAAGAGGTTAGATTTTTTTGACTAACAATTGTTAGTATACTCCAACCAATGGTGATTAGATGCCACCTTGGTTGACCTATAGTACAAAGAGGCGGAACTAAAGATGCAGAAGTAAGATCTAGTTGGAAACATCTTCACTTACAGAGAGAAACAAAACCAGTCTTCGTAATCTGATCGTGATGAATGATTTAAGAACAGCTTCACCGACGCCGGAACGAGAACCTGTACTCGTCATCTCAACCCTCTTAACTCGCTTCACTCCCCAAAAATTGCCCGAGCCACCTCTCTCAGACCCTAAAACGGACATAAACCCCAAATCTCGAAACTATTGATTAAATGATTTCAGTGATAAGTAGTAATAAATAGGATTCAACCCTATAGGTATAGACTGAGAGGTGGGGATGAGAAATTACCATGGCTGCATCTGAGATCTTAGAAACAGAATCCTCCGTAGTAGATGTAACCAGATCTGAAGTTAAGGAGACAGGAGACGATGCAATTGACGGAGAAGCGAAGGGGTGGGTTTGGTGGTCGCGACGGATAAGGGGCCATCAGAGGTGGGTTAGGGTTTGGGTGAGTTGGGGAGAGGGAGGAGGAGGAGGAGGAGGGGGAGGAGGATGGGGAGAGAAGGTTTAGCCATAACGGCGGAGACGAAGGAGGAGTAGATCTGAAACGGCGATGATAGAGGGTTGCTCTCTCAAGAGCTTTTCAATTTATTTATTTTTTTGTTCAATTCTTTTGTATTCTGTTTTTTTCTTGTTTCTAAACAATATAAAGGCGAATGTTCACAATGGTGGTAAATGTCCTATTTTTTGCCTAAGTGTTGGCGCTCATGACAAAAATTTAGGTTCCGAAAACTCCCGCTTATTAAAATTTCGATCTAGCGTTTTTAATATGCTATAATAGAGTACTCAAATCCAGAATATCTTTTCGATAGCAGTTACGAAAATTGAGCTATTAAAATATGCTATCAATGCCCATATTTCTTGTAGTGGACTCAACAACCCAATGCAAACAAAGCAAGACAACATCAGAAACTTCCTGTGCAAGTTATAGAATCAGTCTAGGGTTTCCTTACCCTTGACGGCTTCAACGATGGGTACGATTACTCCGATGGCAGCGGTTGACATCTTTGTTGAATCATTGAGGGAGAATTAAGAAAAAGAGTACGAGATAAACAATTATCTCTTCTCCTTTAAAGAAGACAAAGAACAAAAACATAAACTTTTAATTGAATCTAAAACTTGTTTTATTTACTCGACAACGTTTTACAATAACACACATACACTTATATAGATGTCTTACGGTCGTAACTGTACGTAACAGTTGTGTCTTAACCAACAAGTCACAACTCTTACACACATACCCTTTCGTTAGAAAGTCACGGTTAACAAATATTGGTTGACTTTACAACACACTTAATAATGTGTTATATAGAATAACATAAGACTAAACTCAATTATCACTAACACTCCCCACTTAATTGAGTTTCGGTCTTACACTAAGCTTCCTCCTTAGTTGGTCACAGCTTTTGGCTTCAAACAAGTAGAATGACATCTTTGTCTCTCTCTTGGTGATTTTCTTCTTATCACACAGAGGTAGTAACTTGTCTCTTCTACCCTTTGATAACGTTCCTCCTTTTTTCTCTTGTCAGTTTGACATAGGAAGATCTCCTGGGATTTCTCTTCCCCAGAAATTCTTCTCCAAGTCACCTTCAAGTTTACTCGTGACCTCTCTCACGTTTTTCTTGAAGTCTCCATGAGCTTTCCTCACGTCTTCTCTGTGATCTTTTATCACGTTTTTGTCGGCTGTTCTTGCAATCTTCTTCCACTCCCTTTCTCTTAGGTGAGCTTTCTTCTCATTCCCTTATGGTGTCCTCTTGATCACCAAATTTGTGATCCTTTGATCACCATCACGTCTCTGTGACGTCTTGTGCGTGAATATTCTCCACGTCTTCTTCGGTTGTCTCTACGACCAACCAATGCTTCCTTTCACTCTTAGATAAGCATCTCTCGTTATTGCATGGTGTCTTCCTTTAATCACCATAATGTCTCCATGACATCTTGTGCGTGAATATCTTCACCATGTGCCCTGGCTTGTTACACGCAAAGCACCTTACACCCGTAGGCAAGCTAACATCCCTGTGTTGCTTTCTCCGACAATCACTCTCATTGCGATTGTCACACGTACAAAAGTCACACCATTTCTCGGCCTTATTTTGAATTTTGTCGCTCCGTTTGTTTCTTTCTTTTGAAACAAACTTTCTCCACGTCTTGATATCTCTGTATTTTACCTCTTTCTAGCACACATTTCTTATACATTTAGCTTAGTTTCCTCTCTGTTTCATTGCATTAATAGTCCTTTTTAAAACATTTTCATCGCTTAGTACGATTTGCATTGCATAGCATAGCCATGTTGCATATTGGATGAGTTTCAGTAC